CAGAAGATATGGTTAACTGCTTTGGTTCTGATTCTGTTTACCAAACTTGCTAGGTGACCATAAACGTTACACTGTCTCCTAATTTATAAACTGAGGTTGTCAGATTTTGCTTGTACCAGTGCTTGAAACATAATAGCTATTTTTAAAATGATTCCTATGACAGCCTCCAAAAACAAGCCCTTTTCAAGGAGCAGGGATGGAATAAAACATACATTCATGTAGCCACTGTATATGAAGAATATAAATAAAGGTTACTTTACTCTTCAAGAGGGGGTCTTGGCCCAGATGGCCCATGACTCCTAAGTTTTCAATCATTTGTCTGGCACTGTGCTGACAAGGTCCAAAAAAGCTTGTGTTAAAAAAGGGCAATCAAGACTCTACTTTCTGTTCTGCTAAACTGTATGATTAAGTTAAACTTAATCATTTAACTGTATGATTAGGTCAGTCAAAAATCCTCCCCAAAGCCGGGCTTGGTGGCACAGCCTTGTAATCTCTGCAACTGGGAGGTTGAGGCAGGAGGATCACTGTGAGCTTAAGGCCAGCCTGAAGCATAGCATGTCTCAAAAAGACAAAAACGAAAAGAACCCTCCCAAAGCAGTCCATAAAAGTGGTGACAGGGCCGGCCATGGCTCTTAGGCAGAGCTCAGCAGCCTGGGTTCAATCCCTGGCATGCGATACCAGCCCCACCCTGGGGCTCTGGGACAGCCATTGAGACTGGGCGTGGTGGTGCACACGCCTGTAATCCCAGTGCTTAGGAGGCTAAAAACAGGAGAATCATTACGTGTAAGTCAAGTTCGATCTACGTAGTGAGATCTTGTAGACCCCGTACCAAATACATTAAAAACAAAACAAAAAACAACCAGAGGTGAGGGAGAGGAGATAGAAACTAGATTTTCTGATTTAGCCATTAAAACTTTGTAATTCTTAAAAGGTCGGTTTGAGGTGGTTCCCAAGATTATCCTCCCACAGGAGCCATGCATACTGGTGCACACTTGTAATTCTAGCACTTTGGCAGGCTGAGGCAACAGGACTGCAGTTTCAAGCTTAACAACTTCTGGTCTCAAAATGGAAAAAAAAAAAAATTATTTTAAAAGGCTGAGATGTAGAATGGCCCTGAGTTTAATTCCCACATCCACCAACAATTAAAATAAAGAACTGGACAAACAAAAAGTTTCACTAGGGTAAATCAGAGTTCCTTGTGAACTCCAAGGCAGAACAGGTTGGAGCATACGTCTACCTATAGCAGTGTGCTACCGAACAGACCCCACTCACAACGCTGGTCTGATAAACAACACGTACAGGGTTGAGAACCAACAGCACTTTATCAGAGCTGTCCTCACAGAACTGTCAAAAAACAAAAAACAAAAAAAAACTTCTTCCCTTCTGTTAAGGCCCTACGCTTTATCACTGGCCATAATTCAAAGAGCAGCGCTGGAAATAAGCACGCTCGTCCTCCCCCGTGCTGCGTACCAGGAAAGTGGGCGGGAAGACCAGGTCGGGGCCGGCGGGGCGGGCAGCCCACGCGCCTCTTCTCGGTGCCCAGACTCCCACCCGGCTCGTCTTACTCGGGCAGCCTCCGCTCTCGGCCGCTCTGCACTGCCCTTCCCCTGCACCCCCGAGGTGGGCCAGGCAGGGGGTGCGGGGACGAACTTGGCTGCAGCAGTCCGCTGTCCTGGAAGCACTCGGGGAGCCGAGAGGAGTCTGCGGCCTCTGCTCTCTCCAAGGGCGAGGAGATGACTCTCCAACGCGGGCCGCGACCCCGAGAGCCTCAGCGGGAAGGCGGCGCCGCGCGGCCGGGACCCACGACTTCGGCCGGGAGCATCTCCCTACCATGGAGACCCGCGGCGGGGAGGTGCACGGGGCTAGCGACAGCGCTGGGCCCCACGCCCTGGGCCGCGCCGTGCCCGCGCGGGACACCCGCCTGCCGCGGATCAGCTGCTGCAGTCTGAGGGGAGTCGCGCACCGTGCCGGGGACTAGCCCCTTCCTCCACGAGGCGCCCGAGAGGCACCCGCGCCAATAATACTCACTGCCGGACCACGGTGAGGGCGAAGCGCGTCATCTCCGAGCGGCCGAGGGAGACCAGGCGCCGCTGGCCGGGAGAGCACAGCACAGAGCCAGCGCGGAGCTCGGCAGCCAGCCGCCTCGCCGCTCCACTTCCGCCACAGAGCCCGGCGCCGCAGTCATAGGGCCAGGCCGCCTTTTGCGTCATCCGCGGATGGCCAACCACAGCGGCGGGAGGCCGACAGGTCCGCGGAGATTGGAGAATGTCGAAGCCCCGCCCCATGCTGTGGCGCCTGCGCTCCCGCGCGCTGGCCGGTGATTGGCGGCACGGCAGGCGCGCGCACGTAGGGTCCTCAGATAAGCCGTGTAACGCCTGTAACCCCGGCAAGCGTGTAAACTGTGCTCGGCTAGAGATAAGAGCAATCTGGAGCTGGGTCAAATCAAATCGGTTTGAGATTGGATTGCAGCCCTACAGCGAGCCCATGTGATGAATAATATCCCTCAGAGGCTGCAGAGCCAGACAGATTGCATCCTTTGTAAGGTAGATGTTAGTCTTCGGCTTCTGAGAATGCCCTCCTCAATGTTTGTGTACTTCTTAGACCCATCTTTTGCTATTGTTGTTTTAATGTATTTAGTACAGGGTCTACAGGGGCTCACTACAGAGATCCGACCTAGTGATCCTCCTGTTTTCAGCCTCCCAAAATCTGGGATTATAGGCAAGGCACCATGCCGTCTCAATACTTTAGCACGCCCCAGGGGCGGGGCCAGCACAGCAAGCCTGGGTTGGAACCCCCAGCCCCTGCATCTGCCTAAGCAGGCGCTTTAGTCCTTTGCGCTGTCTGGTCGGCCCTTAGACCCATCGGTTTTATTCCCAGCGGCTCCTGGAGCCACTAGACTTTTTGTTTGGTTGGTTGGTTTTGCCCAACCAGGGATTGAACTCAGGCCCTTGGAGTTGCCAGGCAAGCGCTTGTTCTACTGAGCTATGTCCCCGGCCCCTGGACTTTGGATCCTAGATTTACCAGAGAGCCCTGCTGAACCAGTTAATGAAGAATTCCCTCACCCTTGATATTCAAACAACTTCCTCATCACCTTACCCAGACACCAAGTTCCCCCTAGTAATTTCCATCTTCCTGATCCTTTTTGCCCTAGCCTGCAAATCTAGGCTGGTCCCTGTGGAGTTCAGAATGCAATTCATTCTCTTTATTGCAGTGGCCTTGACCCTTGTTATGCTGGTCTCAATAAAGTCTTTGCCTTTTAAAATTGTAACGGTATGGTTGGCCCAATAGATCAGGGGATTAAAGCGCCTGTTTAGGCAGAAACAGCAACCAGGGTTCAATCCCTGGCATGCTGTGCTGAGATGTGATTGAGACTGGACGCAGTGGCTCGAGCCTGTAATCCCAGCTCTTAGGAGGCTCAACACGGGTGGATCACTACAAGTCCAATCTACTTGACATCAGTAGTGAGACCCTGTAAACCCTTACTAAAATATAAATAATAAATAAAATAAAATGGTAACAAGCCAAACATAGTGGTACATATCTATAATTCCAGTACTGGGGAGGCTGAGGCAGGATAATCACTGCAAATTCGAGGCCATCCTGGGCTGCAAGTGAGTTCAAGGCAAGCCTAAACTGCGTAGTGCAACCCTAGCTCAAACTCCTCCCAAAATAATGATAAAAATAGTAGTAATAAGTATCAGGTGAAAAAATCATGTTTGTCTTCAAATAAGTATCAGATGAAAAATTCCTGTTTAATTGTCTTCAAATAAGTATCAGGTGAAAGATTCCTGTTTCATTGTCTTCAAAGTCTTGAGGGACTGAAGCTCTGTGGTCCTCAGCTCTGATAGGTAAACTGGGATCACAGCAGCCCTGACAGATGTCAAACTCATTGTTATCTACAAGGTTACATTGTCTTCTGTGCATTTTTACCTAAATTTTCATATGTGGAAATGTATTTTTTTCAGTTGAGTCCCAGTTCACAGTTTCATTATGTGTTGTCACTATGGGCCTTAATAACAATTCTGAGGTGGACAGTGAAAGAAGGCTGTATTAATTTCTGTAGGAATACTAATAATAATAAAAAAGGCTGGCCAGATAGCTCTTCAGACTAAAGCACCTGCTTAGGCACAGGCAGCGGCTGAGGTCGGATCCCTGGGTCTGCTGTGCCAGCCAGCTCAGGGGGGCGGGTTCTGAGACTGTAATTGAGACTGGGCGTGGTGGTGCACACCTGCGCTTCCAGCACTTGGGAGGCTGATGACAGGAGAATCACTAAGAGTCCAGTCTATGTAGTGAGACCCTCGTAGGCCCTGTACCAAATACATTAAAAAAAAAAAAATTCTGTAGGGAAATCAAAGAGCAGAACTGTTGGTGGTGACACAGTCTAACAGTTAATTATGTACAAACTGAGCTTGTTCTCTCAGGACATGGAAGAATGAAGTCACAAACCAAAAGGGGGAATTTAGGAGAGTTTTATTAGAAATAACAAGAAGAAAAAAGGTCCTGATTTCCCCAGGAGAGGAATCTGAAAAGTCAGATTGTCCCTTGGATCTGAGGCCAGCACTTTTTATAGATAAGTATGGGGATTGTTCAGTTGTTCAATAGCCAGCTTTCACAGGGGACTCTGTCACAATCAACTGGGACTCAGGCTCTCCAGCTCAGTTATTTAACATGCAGGTTTTTTAAGGAAACTGGGATTTTAAAGAAAAACTTGTTACTCTGCATGTTTTTTTTTCCATAATTTTATTGAGAAACAAATAGCAATGAGACAGTTTCAAATCAAATTGGTAGGACAGTTTCAATAATTAACACATTGCAGACATTCTTCCTAGTGGTTAATTGCTGTACAAGATGAGGACATGATATCCTATTTACAAACACCATTAGAACAAATCCCTCTATTCATTAAGAGA